TGGTTCGAGACACACTGCTCATCTTCTTATCCCTCTATTCCTCCTCAGCACAAAGTCTGAGACACAAAGTATGCTTCGGCAAGATGCCTCCACTCAACAGCAGAAGGGAAAGGCCGTTTGTGAAATAGAAAGAAGGGATCTAGGCTCATAGAGAGGCTGGTAGACAAACTTCTGTTACTGGAAAGCCGGCAAATGTGAGGTGCATCTCCAAAGATGAATGGGAAGAAAAGCCAATGTTAAAAAGAAAAATGTGGCCCCAGGACAGGGGTGTCTCTTCAGTGTTCTTGGTTCTGGACACAACACACACACACACACACACACACACACACACACACACACACTTTGGGAAAAGGCTTGTGCTTTCATCATTGGTCCATAGGTTTCCAAAATGTCTCAGGTCATGGCACCCTTAACTATCTCAGTAATTTTCCAAAGCATTCCCAGACCAAAAAAAAAAAAAAAAACAAAAAGCTAAAGTCCTGTTTATTAAGTAAATAAGTCCAAACAGTTTGTAAATATTTATATCTTAACAACTTTGAACCTATTGGGCATTGCATAATTTCTCAAACTTTAGGATGGGATTAGAGATCACCACCTCCATTTCCTGTTCCATGCTGATTTTGTTCTGCTTGGTACTTTCTTTTTTCTTTCTTCCTTTCTTCCTTTCTTCCTTTCTTTCTTTCTTTCTTTCTTTCTTTCTTTCTTTCTTTCTTTCTTTTTTAAACACAGTACCTGCAGACCACCACATTTTTCATGGCTTAATAGCAAATCAAGCAGACATGCTGTTATGGAGCCCAGCTACAAGGCTAGCCCTTAGGAGGGGGAGGCAGGAGGATCAAGAGTTTAAGTTCAACCTTATCTACACTGTGAGTTCAAGGTCAGCCTGGGCTACATGAGACTGTGTCAATTAATTAAATTCAGGTCTCAAGGTCAGCCTGGGCTACATGAGACTGTGTCAATTAATTAAATACAGGTCTTGGGATATAGCTCCTTTCCATGCTTGCCTGACATGTACAAGGCCTGGGCTCTGTCCCCAGCACTACAAAAACAGAAGCTAGTTTGCATGGTGTCTGGCAAGTAATGCGATCACTATTTCCTTCAAAAATTAAAATCCCCCATAGTACCTACCAAATTCACCATGGTGCCCTGGACACACAGTCTGGGGACCATGAGATTAGTCAATAAGAAGAAACCATGAGAAAACAGTAACTGGCACTTATCTCCTAGCTCGATTTTCCAATGAGCTTTGAATCTTTGTCAATAATGCCCCTTTCTGAGTTGGACCCCACGAGGCACCAAGTAAGTTCTTTAAGGCATTGTTTAATGAAATAAACTTACTAATCAGAGCTTAACTGACTCATATTTTCTTTCAAAAATTTCAGCAGATGAATTAATAACTAAACAAGCTTCCATAATCCTAGAAGTCATGAAAGTAAGACCCTCCCTTGCCCTGGGGCTATTTGTGCCCTGGGGCCCATTACTCAGACCTGCCCAAGGAAGAGACGATGAAATCAGTCTCTAGACTAAAATTCTCTAGCTCCCCTGTTCTTTGCCTGGACTCATAGTGATGGGGGAAGTAGAAAAGCAGGAGCTGGAGAGTCAGCTCAGTTGGTAAAGTGCTTTGCCACACAAGCAGAAAGACCTGAATCTGGATTCCCAACACCCATGTAAAAAGCTAGGCATGGGGGTACATGCCTGTAATCTGAGCATGTGCACACTGATACACACAAACACACACAGTATTAAACAAATTAGAGGGGGAAAAAAGAACCAAAACAAACAAACAAAACCTACTGAACTTGGTTAGCCTAGGGAATTAGACAAACTCTGTCTTCTCAGGTACTTATTTAAAACACATCAGACAGATGGGAGGCATGTCTAAAGCCATCCTCAGCTGCACTCCCAGCGTAATGGGGAGAAGAGATGCACAGACAGAGAGGTC